ACGAAGCATACAACTTTTTGAGTGACAACGTTTTATTTATTGCATAGACCTTAGTTGCCTTATGGCCAGGAAGAGATCAAGACGATTATGTAACATCGACCCACGAAGAGTTCAAGCTGTATACTCAATCAACTTATCATTTAGCATCCAATCATCATGTTTACAATTCTGTATATTGGCTTCACAACTTGTACTATATGTGTGCGTTACCCGTTATCTATTACTGGTCATTAGTACTGTGTTTCCTCCTGCTGTAACCGATGCTCAGTAATTAAATGCTGCTCTTTCCAGCGTCATGGCCATGCAGCTGACACAAAATGACCGAAGCCATCATTAACCCTTAAACCTCATGCATAAATTCACTGGAAGTTGTGCCGCATTTGTTTAACATGAATTTACACAAACCTTTCAATGACTAGAACACCATATCAAAACATGTAGAAACAAAATGTCATATATACAAGATGGGTCTGATTGATCACATCACTCTTATTTTCCTGCAAGATCACATATTAAAAGACTTCATCAGATCACTCCAAATTGATCTCTCTGGTACGACCTCCAATTTTAGGTTAAGATGGGTCCTCCTTTGGTCAAAAGTTTGTTCCCTCCGAAATGTGTGTGTCACGGGTTGTACACGAGTGTCCAACGCCACTCACAACCGTGTGCAATGTTTGTCATATGGGTCCCACAAGCGTGGTCAACGGGTTCCACATGAGTGACCAACGCGATTCACACGGGTGGCGTCATGCGTTGCACACGCATGTAAGGGGAATGAACTTGTAGGCAGTAGTGTATTTCCACAGAGTATGTGAACACAAAGGAAAATGAATGGGGTATAGAGTGTGTCATTGCTCTATATAAGTCAAACTCAAGAGGAGTTTACATTCTTCTAAATAAGATCTTAGAATGTGAAATACACAATGTATCTAAAGATAAAAATGGAAATTACATAATTTTAGATGAAACTGTTGATGGCATAAGATTAACCCTTACAAATCTATATGGACCTAATCTGATAGTAAATTGGTAGTGATTGTAAATGTGGGTAACAATTCAATTGCACTATGAAGAGATTGGAATCTTGTCCAAGACTTCTCCATAGACCTATAAACACATGAATAACAATCATGCTGGTAAGACTGTCTTGGACCTAATAGAGAGTTAAATCCTAAAAAGTAAATATGGTGGAAAAAGAATCCTCGCCAACAAGTAAAAGGCAAAACATATTGGAAAGGTACAGGGCATTAAATTATTATAGACACAAGCAAGTGAATGATTATAGACACAATCAAGTCAATAATTTGAGATAGATGTACACTAATATAATATAGTATTTAATATATTTTCATTTGTACATTTGGCAAACATCAAATGAAAAAAAACATGCAACATAAAACACAAAAATAAAGCTCATTTGGGTATTTGCCATTTTCCATTAATTTTGAAAGTATAAAAGAGTTTAAGTGTTTGTTATATATTTGACCTGCAATATGAGAAACGATAAGAAAGACTGCAAGTTGTCAAGTTCATGTTCTGAAATAGAACCTCTCAGTATACCTTAGTTATTTATCTATCCACCAGTACGCAAGCTCCGATTTGACATTTTCGTGTGTATGCATGTAAGATCACATTTATTGAGTATTGACCAGAATTCAAGTGTACTTGTACGCAATAGACTTAATAGGAATTGAGTTTTCACATAAATATGTGCGTAGTCAGTGAAGAAGTTGTCAGCAGTTATATTTCTGATGGACCCAAAGAATGGACCCCCACAGACTCAGCGTCATATGTTTACCCAATCCAACCTGGACAGTTCAACCCTCTTTCCCAAGATATGGAATTCCTCTGAGGGGTTCACTGTTGTCAAAATCTTGAATCCAGAAAATCTTAAGGTCACACTTGTCTGGTTTTGCAGGCATGTACTGGATGAACAATACTGACTTTTCTCAGAGCATTTTCAAATTCATCCCAGCCATCTCTGATTGGTGCCAGTTTGTCTGAAACTGAAAGTCTGTGTTTCCTTGTCATCAAGCCTCAATGTACTCACCAGAGACTTGAATCTGTTTTGAGACAAGATATCTCCCACAATAAGAACTACATACTTTTTATCACATAAAACATTAGTGTCCACCATGTTTTGTTTCAGATGTCCACATGTCAACAGAATTCCAATGAGTGCCAAAATGTTTGTCTTGACTGTATTTTTCCAGGCTGCATCGCCCGTCCCTTCTCTGCCGTTACTTTATTTCCTTGAATGTTTCACAATGGTGTCCACCATATTTCCTGCAATATACTTTGTAAACATGTCTCCTACATGGACAAGGTTGTCAGCATTGATCACTCTTTGAATTCGACCATGGATGTCATTTCATTGAGGAGAACGACTAGATCCAGGAGGAGTTTTCGACCATCTTCCTCCGTCTTTTCCAAGATAGAATTCTTGGTTTTCTGAATGAGACAACTACATGGAATCATCATCAGATGTTTCTGTAGATTCAGAATGTCAGGTAATCATCAGAGGAATCCAAAGGAAGCAAATCACTATCGGAAGAACTGTCGTCAGAAAAGAAAACATCACTTTCCTCAACGTCACTGTTACCTAATCCTCCCCTGTTTCTTATTGTGAAGTGCTACTGACGCAACTGCATCATCTGGCACATGGACTATTGTCACAGTCCGTTGTCAGAAAAAAGCCATTTACCTGGGCCTCCCAGGCCCAGGGTATACCTCGATGTTATAAAAATGTTTTGTTAAATAATGTTAAAACGTTTTACATCAACTGCCAATAGTTTTGAAGAATTAAAGATTTTGACCTTTTAGAGGAATACATGAAGCGAAATTAACATGCTTTTAATATGAATGGTTTTGTATACATGAACACCTAGGTTCTCCTCAAAGGCCTAGGGTATACGTTTGAGGGTTAAGTAATTTCTTTAATGTGAAGGGATTTTCACATGGCAACCAAGGATTGAAGAGTAATTTAAATTTACCATGAAGAGGTTATGACATGAAGACCAAAAAGATCAACAACAAAAAAAAGATGGCGCTTTAGTCCGTTTATGGTAGGGATCGATTTTAAACATCTGTTTGCATAGATGAATTGTTTTGTGGACATTAGACTTAAGACGTCATTTCTTCTTTCTTTATATCCCCCAAAAATGTGTTTTACATTCAATTCTAATTGTGTGCCAGTTACAATGTCTATCCAATTTGCTTATTGCTTAATATGTTTTAATATGTTTGCACTCATATAACATATGAATAATGGTTTCTGATTCCTTATCACAGAAAGAACACAATAAATGTGAGAAAATATTATAGTTCAATAGGTCTTTATTTGTTGTCAGAAATCTCTGGATAATTTTAAATTGTAGCCACCGAAGTTGTGTGTTAAGTGTTGCTCTAAAAGGTATTTGGTTATAAATTGTCCACTGGTCTTCTGGTATAATTTTGTTTATGTCTCGTTTCCATTTTATTTGATTACGTAAAGATTCCTTGTGAACTATATAATTTAGATAGTGAAGTATAGAATATTTTACTTTCCTTTTTCCCTAATACAACATATTTAAATTATATGGGATAAATGGTTGTTCTACTTTGTTTAGTTATATTTTCTTGGGATGGATGAACAATTTAATTGCACATTCCAAATTTCTGCATTTTTGCAAACAAGATAATTGTGAAACCAGCAAAAAATGGTGTTTGAAATTGAGAAGTTTCTTAAATCCCCTGACCCTGAGACAGTCAGTCAATTGCACAAATCAGATTTATTGCAAATTTCTTCACATTACAAACTTTAAGCCAAACCTGCCATGAGGAAATTTCAGATTTTGAAAATTGTGTTGAATCACTTTATTGATGAGGACGTTTTTGGGCATGAGGTTTTGGAAATGGTAAAGGAAGAAAATTCGGAAAATTTTGACATGAAAAAGCTTGAAATCTAACAACAAATTCAAAAGGAAGAAAGGGAATTGAAAAAGTTGGAAATGGAGAAAGAAATAGAATTCAGAAAAGACACAGAATTTAAAAAATTGGAAATTGACAGAGTAATTGAACTGAAAAAGCTTGAAACCCTTCTCCTCCCTCAAATTCTTCCTCTTTTGACATTGCAAGGCATGCCAGACTGGTACCCCCTTTTAATGAGAAAGAAGTAGACAAATACTTTCTACATTTTGAAAACCTCAAGTGGCCTAGGGGGTCATGGACTATGCTACTGCAAACTGCTTTGAAGGGTAAAGCTCAGGATGCTTATTTGGCCTTGTCGATACAGCAAAGCTCAGACTATGATCTTGTCAAAAGGACTTTTAAAAGCTTACGAGTTAGTGCCTGAAGCTTATCGTCAGAAATTCAGAAATGCTCATAAAGGGACAATGAGACTTTTGTAGAGTTAGCTAGAGAAAAGGAATCTTTGTTTGATAGGTGGTGTGGGTCTAAGGAAGTCACAGATTTTGGTGGTTTGAGACAGTTAGTAAGGATTTCAAGCAGAGTGTTCATTCTGATCTCAAGACAAGGTTGATGACTTACATGAGGCAGCGATGTTGGCAGATGATTATTGTTTGACTCACAAGAGTTTTTTTAGGTCTCCGGGTAATACCAAGTTTTCTGGCCAAAAGGGCATGCAGGTTTCAGTGGTGTTAGAACAGGTTCAAATTCTTCTGACAAATCGTTTCAGTCTAAGCCTGAGACTTCCAGTGGTTCTGATCCTGTTGTGCATATTGTAAGAAGCCGATGTTGGTGCTGATCCCATTGTCACTGTTTCTCCGGAGAGTTAAGTTAGTACAGAAGAGTTGGAGGATGAATTTCCGGGTATTTTTCCTTCTTGTGCAGTGACTCGTTCAATGTCGAAAGGCATTTCTTCCAAGACTTCTTTGCTGAATGATTCCATTTATGATTTGTCAGGTACTTTCATGGATCATTCTTTTTGTGAGGTAGAGGCTGATGAATTATCAAAGAGTTGTAACTCTTCAGGTCTTCTTGATAAGTCTGATAGTTTGTTTGGTGGTGATCACATTCTTTCCAGAGAGCAGCTTATTAGTGTGCAGGGTGAGGATGTTGAATTGCAGAAGTTGGCTAGTAGTAGATATAATGACAGTCCGAGATCAAGTCCAACAAAAGCCTCTGTAAAGCTAATGCCTACAGGGAAAAATAGCTACAAAGTTTGTTGTGACAGCGATACGCTTACCTGCACACAAGTGGACTGTACCGGTTAGTGTGCACTAATGCCTACAATGGGATTAGGGGAGTAGAGGGCAAAGAGCAATTAGCAGAGGCTATGCTCCATCTCACACGGTTGAAGGAAAGAAAAACATTTTGAGGGATAAAACAAAGTGAGAAGGAAATGTTTAATTTATTGAGAGAGATTTTCCTTATTGAGAAGGAAATGCATTGCTTTAGAAAGCTTGTAACCAAAGTCTTCTTCCCTAACCATGGCCAACCCAAAGAAAGTCGAGTACTTCACATCACAGAAAGGAGGACAGCAAATACTGCTAGATGGCTACAGATACAACAACAACCGACGATTGACCTGCGTACACTGGAAGTGTGTTCATGGAGGCTGCCTTGGTAAGTGCACCACAGTTGGACAGTTTGTTCGAAATCAGTCCCCACACAACCATCCACAGGAAGATCATGCAGCTCTGAAGATTGCAGACTTGAAACAACGCCAGTACCGACCATCTACGACGAGGAGATTTCAAGACTGGACCGAGATGAAGCAGCGATAGTCAAGTCCTTCTATTCAGTGAAGAGTAGACTCTTCAAGCAGAGACGAAAGACTATGCCGCCACTTCCCCAGACGCTCAGCGAGGTGAATCTACCAGACTACTTCAAGGAAACTTCTGATGGACTGTCCTTCCAGGTCCAGGTCGGTTTATGGAACCACCAAGAGACCCGAGGCCTGAGGACGAACAATCATCTCGAGGGTTGGCATTCCCACCTCACGAGACTGTTCAGAGAGCTCATCCTAACATTTTCGCTTTGGTGAAAGTGCCACAGAAGATGGAGAAAACTGAAAGGAACAAGTTGGTGCAGATGTCGCATGGCGCCGCCCCCCACCCCGTAAGAGGATCTACACTGAGATCGACCAGAGACTAACACGACTGAAGGACCAACTGACAACTGGAATCACGACCCCCCATGGAGTTCCTCTCAGCTTCTGGACATCTGATTAAGTTGGCGTAACTCAAGAGTATCTCAAACAGCTTGAAGGACTTCAGTTGTCATCAGAAATGTATATTTGTATGTTTGTATATTTTTACATATGTAAATAATTCATGTTGATTAATGATGTAATATATAATGTCATCTCAATAATAAGTAATGTAATGTTCTTTTGTGTGAAGAAATGAAACTGATATGATTAAATCTTATAAGATGTCTTATAAAATGTCATTTAAAAGTCTGTGTTTTGCTTTCCCTGTAGGCATTAGTGCACAATGAAGTGGGACCTACCACTTTAGTGAAAGGGTATAGGCAGTACAATTTGTAACCACCGTGCGTAAAATTGTTTATTTAAGACTGTAGGCGTTATTCCCTGTAGGCATTAGTAGACTCCACCTATTTCACAAATAAAGCTTTTGTCAGGCCCTTAGATCTCGCCGCCATTGTATATACTACTTTTGAACCCCCAGTTAACTTCCCGACCCCACGTGACACAATAGTGTCGCTATGACCGCGAACTAGCACTTTCCTGATCACATGGCACTATTGTGATTACCCTATGTCGTGTTGGCAGGAAACAGTTTAATGCGAGCTGGTTACAGGATACTATGGGGATTACTTGGTAAGTGTTAAATATTTCGCTTGGGGGGTAACATTGTGCCGTACGGTATGACTAATAATTCCTCTCTAACGAAACCTCTCCCTGGCCCATCTCTCAAGTTCGGCTCGTTGGCTTTGGGACGTCTTGTTTATCGTCAGTCCGTATATCCTGTGCCCATCACTTCTAAGCGTGTTCATTTTATGTCTGAAGGTATGGGTCTTGAACAGGGCTTCCTTGAATCTGGCGTGTTTGATGTGTTGTTTAACCACGTACTTCTTAACACCCTTCGCCTTTCGGATCTCACCATTGTCGGCCTTCAGGATGGAGTACATCTTAGGCCTCAAGCCTATGTACTTGGCTATGGGTGTGCCAGCACACTCGTCCTTCATCTTACCGAGGACCTTTTTATTTACCGTGCTGTGTATGGCATGGTCCTTGGGGTAGTCGCTGGTGTCATACAAATCGAGGCGTTTCTTCATGTCCTCGTACACGTCCTCGGTTCGAATCTCCATCAGCAGGGAATCCGTGTCAGTGTACAGCACTTCACACCTGTCGCCATACTGTTTCTTCAGTTCGTTGTAGTAAAAGTCGTACATCAGGTGTTTGGATAAATCGAGGATGCTCATCCCCACGTAAACAGGCCGGTTGAATTTGATGTGGCTTTTCTTCATGTGTAGGGCCACCAGGTCATCGGTGAATATCTTGCTCCGGTCGAATGCCGGGCTGGCTATCAGTTTCCTGAGCTTGTCGTCCTCTCTCGACCGAACCAGCTTCACGGTCACGCATTTCTTCAGGTTCTCCATAGTCTTACCAAACACCGAGTTGTTCATGAGCTTGTAGAGGTTTTTCTCAAAGTCACTGGTGGCCAGCTTTCGCAGGTCCGTGTTCATTCTGATGTAGGGCTCCATCCAGGGGCTCTGGTCGAACACGAGCACCCTGTGTATTTTGGTCAGCCTCATACCCAACGACAGGTACAGCTGTAGGTTGCGATAGTGAACGATGTACTTGGTCTTATTCATTAAGTTGGGCACTAGTTTTTCAATGTCTGCCACCCGCCCACCTAGCAATTATGTTGGTACATCCAGTCCGGGTTAACCTTCATACGTTCGGGGGCCAGGGGGTAGCTGTTGTGCGATGTGTGTAATGCCTTGGGGTATTCTAAGTCCACCTCGAGGATATAGCCTTTGTTCGAATCCGGCCCGATGCTCATAACATCCATCTCGTGCGTTGCCCATTCGAATCCCCCTGTGGGTAGATACTGGCTCATAGCCCAACTGTACAGGTTGTTGGCGTCGAGGTAGAGAATATGATTGGTTGGCTTGCTCGGGTCGTAGCCCTTCACGTATTATATAGAACAAACTTTATGGATAACAACTTCTTTTTATTCGTGAGTGCGACGTTTCGATACAGATTCTTGTACCGTTGTCAAGCATAACGGTACAAGAATCTGTATCGAAACGTCGCACTCACGAATAAAAAGAAGTTGTTATCCATAAAGTTTGTTCTATATTGTACTTCCCAACTTCTAAAAATGCCACTCAAAGAAACCTTCACGTATTGATGATTGGCTTTCGCGTATCGTTTGGTAGCCATGGAAATCCCACCTCGCAAGCCTTTCTCTATGAATAGGTGCATGTCGTAATCGGTGAGCAATTCCAACTTAACTCCGGTCTTTTTCAGCAATGCATCCCACGACAGACCTGGGCTGGTGTAGTACCATGCGGGGTCGAGTTGGTACTGCTTAAAACACGTCCTCCAAAACGTCTCGAACACGTCGGCTAGCAGGAGTACATCTGTCCTCAAGTACAGGCCGTGGTAGTCACCCAGATTCTTACAGCCAAGTTTATTCCATACGTTAATTGCGTGCGAGTAATCGTCTTGGGTGATTGTCGAGTCAGTCAGGTTGCTGTAAAATCGGTTGATGGGGGGGAGTCGGTCTCGGCGAACTTGGCCCAGCCATCCATGTACTCGTATAGGTACACACCCTTCCTCATCAGCAGGGGTCGAGTCTCGGCGTCCGGTGTATCGGTCGGTGATGGGGAAGGTATCGTTGGCCTTGACCAGACTGTCGAGTGATGACAGGAGGAACTGAACTGAGTCGATGAACCTCAGGCCATTCAAGCTGAAGGAGATGTATCTCTCCATGTTGTTTGGGATGCACGTCAGGTTGCCGTCGACTTTCGCGATGGCCTGCATGATCAAGTGAGAGTCGTACCCTCTCAAGTTGTGGAAGACCACGGGGATGTTTATTGTCTTGGGGGTGATTCTAAGCTTGAGGTTGCACGCGTTGTGAGCGGCGCCTCTATACTTACCGGTGACATGGCAGTGATCTCTCACCGAATCGCCGTTCAGCCGTTTATCACACACGTGACAGTGAGTGCTGCAGCCGTGAGCTAGCCAGTCGGCTTGAGTCATACGCATGGGAGCGACTGTATGCAGTGCATTCCTGATATTTTTCTCTTCCTCCTGCAAACACTTTAGAAACTTTTTAGCCGCGTCGGGACCCCTGTACACTACGGGAGCTTTCGTTTCCCCATCACATCGGACGACCACGTTTCCAAACCCACAGGCCTCGTGCTCCTGTGTTTTCTGTGTGTTGGGGGGTACCCCCAGCCTCAACGGGTTTGACCAAGGCTTCGAAGTCGGCGTAGATGACATAAGGCACGGACATCTGGTTCTTGTGGTTGTCAAATTTTAGGATATTGTCACCTTCCTTTTGGCTGAAACCGTGCAGGCATCGTACACAAAAGTGTTTTTTCCCATCGTGTTTCGACTGGTCGTGCAACAGCCTGCTGAGGTGTTTTATCCACGTGTAGTGATACTTATCACCTCGCTGGATCATGAATATATTGATAATGCGGTGGGGTCCCCCCATTGGGCTAATCCTGTTGCCTCCAACCCTCAAAAAATAATAAGGCTCCCATAAAATCCTTTAGTAAATATCTAGATAGACCTCATAGATTATACCCTCCCCGGAACATGCGAGGGTGTTTTGTATTATTTCCAACGAGGTGTCAACAAACTCCTTTATATCCCCACATTGATACACATCTCCTTTCCCACCATCAAAGTAATTACAAGCCCCTGCTTTCACCATGATTGAAACTGCGAAGCCCTCCTCCTCCAGTGCCTTATAGAGTTCACCAACAATAATGGTGGACACTGATATCTATACTTCTACCTATATCCATCTGCCAGCTTCTCAGGCAATGACTTTCCCTGGGCTCAACTTCCACGAACATCATTATACCTAGGTGTACACAGTCTCTAATTGGGTCACTACACCTCCATGCTAAGGAGGCGTCTACATTCTTTCATGTAGTTTTTTTTCCTTGTAGATAAGCTGGTGTCTGACTACGTTTGCCCCGTGGGCTTTACATAAACGGTAGTGACATTTCACTCCAATACCGCACACTGAACACGTGTAGTTCACAAAACATTTTCTATGAAAACAGCAATACCCCTCCATCCTACATTTCCTACCACAGGTCTCAGTCTTCCCCCCTAAGTATGTACTGACATCGGTACACGGCAGGTCTCATCTTTGGTATACTCATATGGCGACTTAGTCTAATTGTTTTGCAACCAACGCAGTCGCTGCTAGACCCAGCGCGCGATAAAGATCAATTCCCGGCCCTTTTGCCCCGGGGATGGTGTGTAGTACTGAGCGAGTGTGGGCTTAGAGGGTAGTTCTATATGTTTACCGGTTACCAGGAAGTATTCTCTCGCTGCGACTTCGATATCATTGGATGTTTTAAAGGCATGGTTCTCACGCCGGAGTTGTTCGTTAATGAACTCTTTCTTCTGTATAAGTTTCGTCTCGTACTCGGCGTGCGCGACTTGAAATTGCTCCAAGGCCAAATCGTGGCGTTTTCGTTCCGCGTCCGACCCATGTAGTTTAGAGAAGAGGAAATTACTCCCGGAAAATGCCAGGGCGTTTACTAACGCCCCGCCAACCATCATGGCGATCGCAGCCATCCTATATATAGTTACATTTACTTCAAAATATTTTCCGGTAGGATCCCTTGTTTTACGAGGATGTCCTTGGTGGCCATCGCCATACCCAGGTTCATTATGAGCATACCCATATCCTGCAGGTTGAAATCTAGCTTGATAGTCGGTTGTTTAAGCACCATTTTGGTCAACCGAGCGTACCCTACGGCTAGACTGGCGACCACAGTGGCGTGGTATGCATCGTTGACGAACGTTTTACCCTCAGACATTATGTATATGATATAAAAATATATATTTATAACATGATATGTGGGTTGACCTCTTATTGTGGGGGAGGGTATCCCTCCCGGGATGGTTGTTTATTATATAACAATAATGAGAGAGACGCGGCAGCAGTTGCACCTGCAATCCACAGGAGTGGAGCAGTGTAGTTAGTTACTTATGTTAGTTAGACCATCTTTTTCTACCGGCGGCGACTCTCTTAGGGTTCTTCTGCCTGGTGACTGTAGGATTCACCTCCTGGGGAGGGTTCACCTCCTGTGTCATTTCTTGGGCAGCATCCATCTTGTATACTATTATTATTATTTTTCCCCTCCTTGAATTGGCAATGCTTTGCTGTGATAATTGCCGCCGTCACTGGGGCCAAAAACATACCATATTTGTGGTACAGCACGCAGCTGATAGAGCTCAAGGCGTGTTCAATAAACGGGTCTTTCTCAAGGTCCTCCCACAGGTAAAATCGGCGTTCCTGGGGAATGGGAAGGAAGTACGACACTATACCAGTGTAGATCTGGGTCATAGCCGATCCTATAGTTTTTGTCATCTCGGCCCCGAGTCTAGCCTCGTATCTCGCATACAGCTTATCGATTTCTTCGGTTGACATTTTGTGAATTTTATCGGGAGTGTAGTCCCCAAAGTATTGTTTGGCTTTACCACCAACAGCCAACGCTACCAGTCTCTCAGTCTTGTCATCGTCCCCTTGCTTATCCCCCTCCACCAACAGTTGTTCTAGCAATTCATCACACTCCATCTTATAATGTAATAAGCAAGTTTTAGTTTTAATAATATAATACCCAATGCAGGTGAAACATAACGAGATGAAGGTTAAGTTGCACACGACGAGCACTTCAAAAACAACCATCGGTCTTCCCTATAGAACTGTAACAATTAATTGCTAAGCTTTGCTAAGCATTGCTAAGCATTGCTAAGCATTTGCTAAGCATTGCTAAGCTTTGCTAAGCATTTGCTAAGCTAAAACACCCTGTAGGCCACGGGTTGGTCGGTCTTGAGCACGAGCTTAGCATGTTTAGTTTCAGCAAGCTGTTTCTTCACCGATTCCCTGTCATGTTTATTCATCACATCATTCTCTCTCAAACACTCCTTGAACGAATCCCTGTCCTTGCAGTGGAATAAGGCCACCCATCGTGTCTGCTCCCTGAGGTCTTTCAACACCGAGTTGAACTTCTGCGTTAGTACCCAGACGCTGTGCTTTGCGTGGCGGCCCGGAGAAGACCAGGTACGATAGCATGTCTCTCTTTTTTGTTATCTCACGATTAGCGCTGCAGTCGTCAAGGATAAACAGCGTCGACTCCCCCTTGAATTTGTTATGATAAGCCTTCAACCAGTCCTGCAGACGTGTTCCCGGGTCGACTTTGTGTACGTCCGGGTCCGTCATCACCCAAGATCTTTCCGTGTACGTTCTATTCATGTGCAAAGTAGGGCACATGATAACGATGTTATCGAACACATCCCGGTAGTACCCCTCCAACATATCCAGCACGAAAACGGTCTTCCCACAGCCCGTCTGTCCGCACACTATGGCGCAGTGCGGGTTGCGGGGTAGATCAATAGATGGCTTGCCGCTATCAGTAGATGGCTTGCCGCCAGGCAGCAAATCAATAGATGGCTTGCACGAATCTCCCATTCTCTATATTAAGTTGCGCGTCCATAATCAAGTGCAGATATAATTTCAACATGCCCGCGGGTTGAGCCTTCTTGGTAATCTGGATTGTAATCCCCTCGCTGCCGTGCAATTTATCGTCGTCCGTGAAACGCATGTCCAACCATAGCGCGTACTTGGTGGTCAGGTATTCACCGATCTGCACGGCGGATAGGTCCAGGTCCTTGATGACGTGTTGGTGTCGGGTCGGTAGTTTCATTATCTCGTCCCACTGCTGGTGTGCCCTCATACCGGCGCTGAACAGCTGGTTGGGCATGCCCTCGATGGTCACTTCCACCTTTTCAATTGCGGGGTTGAAAAACTTCTCGCTGTCCCTTCGGAACGGCTCGTAATCCGCCACGGGGACGATCAGGATGCCTTTCATCGATCGCGCCGGCACGTTTAGGTTGATATTCCACAGCCTGTCGCTCTTATCCCGTACGATCGCTCTATGCCCCAGGACCCTATCGTACAGGATGGCCACCTTCCCCGAGTACTGGTTTCGAACCTGCCTGGCCAGCTCCAGGCTAGTGACCATATCGAACTCCAGAGAGATGTTGTCGATGGTGTAACTGGCCTCATCACTGTTCGGCGTACGCACGACTTTGCTGTAGTCGTTAAATGTGAACTCGTATTCAAGCCTATCACCCAGCGCGGCCTGGTAAAACGGCGCGTGTCCCGTGAGCAACTCAAAGTCGAGCGGCACGCAGAACCTGTTCCCGTACACTTGGGCGATGGCCTTTTCACCATCCGAGATCTTGTCTAGCTGGTCTGCCGTGAAGCCGTACCAGCAGTACCCCACGTGCAACCGAGTCGATTTGCTGATACCTTGGTACACGTCATTGACGCGTTCTCCCTCGCTTTTCCAGAGGTCCCCGTAGCAGTGAAACACGTCACTGTCGTCGATACTCAGCACCCCCTACTGCTGATCTTGATAGTGGTTTTCTTGATGATGGCTCGACCTACGTTCCGCACTAGCTCGCGTTTGTCTTTGTCGGAGGTCAACGTGAGGTTGAACGTCAGTCGAACCGTGCCTGGTACGATGAGGTCATTCTCACCCAGGTTGGGGAATCTAACCAGCAGCGTTTGGTTCTGGTCTATCTTGCTGGGATTGTTGGTGATGGTCACCGACTGGGGCACGGCTCTGACGCCTAGAGGCTCTCTTGATCTTCGGAAAGGATCTAGTTTCCTACCATACATTGTTATATAGATAAAATATAAAAGTTTAATATAAATAATGGCTGAAGGCGGCCATGAGGACATTCCGATGGATGATTTTGGCGCTGGTGCGTATGATGGGGATTACGATGACACCTCATTCATGGGCGACACCATTAGCAACAAACTTTTAAAATCAACCGTCAACGACTACTACGACGCGTTGAAGTCAGATAGAAACTACATCGAGCCATTGTCAGACTATTCCAAGTTTACCATCGACAAGAAGGGCATGCTGCGATTGAAAGCTCTCCCGTAGGTCGATCTCATGAATAAGAGCACTAGAAAACCACTCGCTCTGTCTACGCTGGTCACTCGTTATGGGAGGCAACTGATCCGTGATGAACTAGGCTTCATTGATTACGGGGGCGCACGGCCTAAGTTTCTCCTGAAGGTCGTCCAAGATCTGCAAAATATCAGGGCCGAGCTGAGCAGTGAAGGTGATATGCCCCAACGTGTTAAAGAAACATCAGACAGCATCGAAAAAATATTGACAACGTACCATGACAAACCCTTGCCTGGTTTCGAATTCCCTGTTCGAGAACTGCGAGGCCTAGATGAAGCCTTGAAATGTGTACGCGGAGAACTTGTGAACAACATGGGGAAACTGAACGAACTCGACGAGCACATCGCTCACGAGAAAATAAAACTCACCGAAACGGAGGACGATGATATGAAACGTTGTATCGAGGGGAGAATAAAACACTTGGAAGACGAGAGACGGACTCGGTTGGAATCCGCTTCCTCGAAACGGGAAGCCCTCCGATCCCAGATCAGTCGTGTACGGGAAACCATCGATAGAGTCCTAAATGAAGACACCACGTTGTCCAACAGGATCCAAATCCTCTTCCGAGAGCAAGGGATTACTATCGCCAGCATTCTGACTGCATTGGGCTTCATCATATCAACCCTGGTCGTGTCGCTGACGCCTGCCCGCGGCCGGTGGTACACCCACTGGTGGCGTCAGAGACTGGATACAAAAACACCTGAAATCCCTCGGGGAGGCCCTGGCTAAACTCGCTGGTAAGGCCGCCGAAGCCCTGCCCGGCATCCTGGGTAGCATCGTCTTGTGGCTGCTTAGCACGCTGGATAAAACTGTCACGTGGCTCGGCCAAAACCTGTGGGCAGCCATCGTCGCCGTGGCGGGTCTGGTGTACGTAGTGGCTAAGGAATTTTTAACCAAATGAGACCCAACCCGACCGCGACCGCGACCCCGCCAACCACCAGCGCTGTTTTACGGTCGATGTGTTCCTTGTTTTCAGCCACCCAGTGTGGTGGCTGGGGCTGTGGTGGTGTGGGTTGAACCCTGGGCTCCGGGGTCGGTACGAATATAACCGTTTCACCCGGGGGAGGTGGGACGTGACTCACGTTGATGCCTGCATTGACACCCAACTTTTGGTTGGCCGTGGCTATGACTATTTCGTTGTTGTAGCCCACCACTTTTTTTACTCTCAGTTGCATATCGCTCGGAGCCATGTACAATCCCACGTCGAAGACGTAGTCGACTTTCGACCGGGCGTATCCCAACACGTCTTGGTATCGTTGGATGGCACCCGGTAGATCGGGGAGGCTATGGCATCCTTGACGTTAGCAACGAACTGTTTCTGCGTGTCGTAAGCAGTCCCCTTACCGAGGATGTTGGAACGCGTTTGCGTCTGTGCACCCAACAGCGCCCACACGTACGTTCGAATCGAGTCATTCAAGCGTTCGGTGCCGGCACGAGTAAACCCTTTCGACGTGTCCAGCATATATACTTTCCAATTTTCTTCAACGTGGGGGGTTGCTCGACCTTTTTGATGGTGAAACCAACGTCGCCTGTAAAGTCCATATGATCATCTCGCCATTCGTTACTCGACAGAGTAAATTCTGGCCGAAGTAAACCTTGTTTCAGTAGATCATCGCTGGCTTCTTTCACAGGTTTTGATCCACTGTGTATGGGTTTAGGAACGAGGTTGGAGAATGCATGGAAGAAATTACCCGTACTAAACATATTGTGCTTCATAAAGTTTACCACTGTATCTTTTCGTCATGCTTTTACGGAGAGCCCAACACTGTACGGAATACCGTACCCGTGGTTCACTCCTCCTGGTATCGCCTAATCCGTTTTAGGATCGATTCGAATTCACCACAAATCCGTTCGTAAGCACGCCGATCGTGCGGATTGTTTGATGCATCCCACGCCTTGTCCTGTGGAAGCGGGGCGCTGATCTCTTTGAGGATACGCCTGACCTGGTAGTACACGTGAAACGTGAACACAGACCTACTCAGCGGTCCCCGCCGAGTGTCGGTCAATGTCAAGCCACACCCTGTTGTAGCCCACCACACGGCGAAGTTGAGTTGATTCTGCCAGAACTGCATCGGGCTGTTGAACCAAGCGTGGACTGCCTTGACGTTAGTCACTGAAAGCTTATACCGGTCGAACACATCTATAAACTGGGCGCTGAAATACAGCCCAGCAGCGTCGACCACAATCTTCATGTGTGGGAAATCTATGTCCAGTTTAGGGTAAAACACTCCTGGCTATCTCCTGATATCACTCACCAAGATCTTCCTACCCGACAACATACACTTCATGGGGGTGAAGTGCACCCCTGAGAAATTATCAGAAAAACAATTGGAAACTATCTCGTAATAGTATTATAGCAATGTCCAATCGTCATCGGCCCAACGCCACACTTAACGACCTAGGGGACACGGAGGGATTCGATCAGCCCGGTGAGGAAGACGTCTTGTACGCCCTACACTTGAAAGACAACGTGTATAGGCGGGTGTCCCTAGCAGACTATAAAGAACCCGAATGGTTGATCAACATGACCCTCACCACACCTTATATGTCTTTTAAAAGAGATAATCATGTCTCCGAAATTAAGAACAACGGTTTACTCCTCGGGTCTTTCACTACGGTGCCTGCTGTAAAAGTTCGGACAGCACCAGATTACAATAGCAACATGTTATGGCCATCCGGGAGGAGTAAGTTAAGGTTTGACTTCTATGAGCACCAAACTACTGTGGAGTCAGGCTCAACACTCATTATAGAAGCCTATCTCTTTACAACTTCTAATAGTATAGAACAACTTTTACCTGGGGTAACAATACACTTTGGCACCGTAAACATGAACAGACGTTTCCGTATCGTCATACAACCAGACTCCTCAACAGGTTATATAGATCCCTTAGTAAGCCAAGATGGGCCTCGTGTGGACGCAGAGTTACCTATTAACCTCTCACCTATTTTCCTGCATGAGGATCTACACCTTGCAAGCTTCAAGTACATTGATCGACTATTAAATGAAACCCAATTACAAAATGTTTCATAAGATATATTATACACACAGGATGGGTCTGTACCCCGTCGTAGAGGAAGTCGTGAAGACCCTGGAAACCGGATTCCACTGACGGATTCCGCTTGAGACAGTTATGTGATGTAGAACGCCAACTAGAACAAGACCGCGACACGCGGAAAGCACTATATAAGAAGTACCATAGAGCTTTCAATATCGTGGACGGGGATGATACTGCCCTTATGGCAACCAGCATGGGACTAGGGGGCGGCAGGTGTTGGCTTGTTAGCCACCATCGTGGCTGCACCTATAGTGCTAGGCATTGAAATAACAGCTGGGGTGGTAGGGGTGGCACGGGTGGCAGGGTTGGTGTTTAAGTTTGCATCCCGCAGACTGCACCGTAAAGCGTTGAAACACGACGAGATCAGGGTTCTAGCCGAAGCAAAGCTGAACACGGTAAGTTAGCGTATTTCCATGGCACTCACTGACAGTAAGATCTCAGAGGAGGATTTTCGTTCAATCCTCTCTGAACTCGACAAGTACCGTAAGATGAAACAAGAAATCCGGTCCAAGTCTCGTAAGTCTGCTATCAGCGAAGACGAGAAAAAAAAGTACATAGAACAGGGTTTACGGAAAGCCCAGCAAGCCGAGATCATAGGCGATTACCATTAAACTGTTTCATTGAGGTCAACGCGACATAGTGTCAAGTGCTAGTTCGCGGTCATAGCGACACTATTGTGTCACGTGGGGTCGGGAAGTTAACTGGGGGTTCAAAAGTAGTATATACAATGGCGGCGAGATCTAAGGGCCTGACAAAAGCTTTATTTGTGAAATAAAGCTTTACAGAGGCTTTTGTTGGACTTGATCTCGGACTGTCATTATATCTACTACTTGGCTTGTAAAGCTGTTTCTTTTGAGGAGGTTAGCAAGCTTCCAGTTTGTTATTACTTCAAGGATGGTGTTCTGATGAGGAAATATAGGTCGATGGATATTCCCACGGAGGATGAATGGAACCTATCATCAAATTGTGGAACCAAAAATATTTCGACAACATGTACTTTCATTGGCTCATGGAAGTCCCATGGCAGGTCATCTTCCCAGATAGCATTCAGACGTTGGCCCAACGTTGGCAATGTTGGCAAAACCATTGCCAACGTTGGGCCAACGTCTGAATGCTATCTGGGTTGGTGTAAACAAAACTTGTGACAAAACTTTGCCACATTTCTTTTGGCCCAGTTTGAGACAAGATGTGGCTGAATTTTGTAAAACCTGTCATGCATGCCAAATTTTTGGAAAACAAATCAGAAAATTCCTGCCACTCCTTTAAAACCTATACCGGCTTTTGAGGAACCTTTTCGTAGAGTTATTATTGATTGTGTTGGTCCACTACCTAAGACTAAATCTGGTAATCAGTATCTTCTCACTATCATGTGTGCTTCTACCAGATTTCCTGAAGCAATTCCACTTCGTAGGATTGTTGCTCCTGTGATTGTCATGGCTTTGATCAAGTTTTTCACCTTAGTTGGTTTGCCAGATGTTGTTCAGTCTGATCAGGGCTAAAATTTTATGTCTAAGGTGTTTCAACAAGCTATGTACCAGTTGGGTATTAAGCAAGTTAAGTCTAGTGCTTACCATCAAAAGTCACAGGGAGCTTTTGTGCAGAAACAACGTGAGCAGGAGTGAATTAAGAAAACCACATTTATTGTACATACACACATAATATTGGCCGGAATGAGATAAAAATACATTTATTATACAAACACATATAATACTATTTGGCACATAATTGGGAGCTGGCTCGGTTGCTACTTACTGATATGTATAAGATTAGTTGCAGGGGCAGTAGCCGGCCTGGACAACCCGAGATGGACGCAATTGCAGGGGACGAGCCGGCCTGACAAAAGCTTAATGTGCAGAGGCATTAGCCGGCCTGCGCAGGGTGCAGATAGAAGAATTTGATTTATGAGAATTGGGGGATATATTATGAATTACAATGCCCCCCAGGATAGTATGTATTAACTTAGTATAGGTTAGAACTGAGAACATGTAGTGAAAGAAGTAGGTAAGTTGAACCGAGCACAGCTCCAAGGAGGAAGCCTGGGGTGGAGGTGGGCTTCGAAATAGCAACCAACATGGCGCTAGACTGAACGAGACAAAGGAACATGGACTGCATGCGCAGAACCGCATGTGCGCAGGCTTAGGGGGTGTCATGCACATGTAAAGCTAATAATGAGCTATTAAGATTTGAAACAAATATATATGTAGGGGATTTATATGATTTGTAGAAGAAAAATAGGAGTACGTGGGTAAAAAATATATATAATTAACGAGGTAGATGTACGGTGCTAACCGGAAGTAGAATACGAAACTGTATGCGGAAGTGAATAGTATGAAAGTTGCGACCGATGGACCTACGAAGTTAAATATTGTGTGTGTGTGTGTGTGTGTGTGTGTGAGGAGGAAACGAACCAGTGAGTAGGTATAGTTGGACTATAAAAGAAAGCAAGATAATATGATAGATTGTTATGATACTGTATATGACGCAATGTAGTTGTGCCCAGATGAATGTACTGAGTTACGTACTACCTGTTTCTGCACAAACATAAACATAACATTTACATTTTGTGCAGAAATAACGTGAGCAGGAGTGAATTAAGAAAACCACATTTATTGTACATACACACATAATATTGGCCGGAATGAGATAAAAATACATTTATTATACAAACACATATAATACTATTTGGCACATAATTGGGAGCTGGCTCGGTTGCTACTTACTGATATGTATAAGATTAGTTGCAGGGGCAGTAGCCGGCCTGGACAACCCGAGATGGACGCAATTGCAGGGGACGAGCCGGCCTGACAAAAGCTTAATGTGCAGAGGCATTAGCCGGCCTGCGCAGGGTGCAGATAGAAGAATTTGATTTATGAGAATTGGGGGATATATTATGAATTACAATGCCCCAAACGAGGTAGCAACCGAGAGCCCCCAATGATATAGTGTGTTGAGTAGATAATTAATTACAAGTAGAGAACCTGCTAAAGTGCATGAGTATTCAAGGCACATGAGAACCGGAAGCACTGGGAAATGTCAAGAGCCGGCCATGGTGGACTGGGCACGGCGCACATCCGCTTCTGGGGTACGAATGTACCTAGTGAAGCAGTCTGAAGACCATCTACCCAGAGCCTTAATCATATGGTCCTGTATCTTGACGTGGGCTGCTGTGGTGGCGGCGCCGATCCTGAAGGAATGCCCTGAGTAGGACGCTGGATTCAGCCCGGATCTGGACAGTGCAACATTAAGCCTTGACAGAAACAGGGCTCTGGACACTGGTATACCTAACCTATCAACAAACAATGCGTCGGAAGGCTTGGCTCCACCTTGAAGCCTTGCGCGCATGAGACTTCTCAAACTTGAGAATGCACAGCAAACTCCTGTGGTAGGAAACACGTTGACCGTAACTCCTTGACAGAATGGATCTGTTTTAGACGATTTGAGCTTCACTGAACACTTTGCTTGGACTGGGTGGATAACCACGTCTTCAACACACAGATTGACATGCGGATCGAAGGATTTGGCACATGTAAACTCTCCACAGCGGAGGAACCCGGAAAAAGCTAGAGAACACATAGACTCCATGACTAGATCGTCGAACACGCCTAACACTCCCCTCCGCAGAATGGTCACGATGCGTGTCAAGATGTCGTAGGTTATGGGTAGACGTTGCTTGGTGGTGGCGCAATGTAGTTTCTTGTATCCTCTGAGCAGTGTTTGGAGTCGACTCATGCCTGGTGAAGAAGGGTGGTTTAGGCAAGTATCAATCCCTGCTCTCAGATACACAAAACGGATACCGGCCAAGTAGTTTTTAACTGTACAACACTGTAACTGTAAAGTGCTGAAGCAATGGGAGATGAAGTATTGTAGTAGATTTTCTGTTATGACTGGGAGTTGGGTAACGCTGGAGGGGGGCTGGGAGACTCGATACTTGATGAGGAAGTTCTGGTAACTCTGGAAGCCGGTGATGTAAGCTGTGACTGTTCGCGGTGCAAGGGACGCTGTCCACATGCTGTCTAGGTGTTGATTCAGTACCACGTCACCTCTGAGCTGCCTGGGCACCGGGTTGCACTGTGTGCCGCCTGAGGGGCTAGCCGATGGAACTTGTGAAACCCAGTACTTTCCCCACACCTAACGCCGCCACGACGATTGCATAAAGCTCAAGGAAAGCACTACATTTCATGAGACGCAAGTTGGCTCTTATGTCACTGGGCCATAGCTCGGCAAACCAATGGCCTTGATAGAATCCTCCATATCCGACGGACGCTGCTGCGTCTGTGAATAGTTCTATGTCATGGGCGTCTGTGATCCTAGCGTCGTGAAAAAAAGAGATGCCGTTCCACTGAAGCAAGAACTGTTTCCACATACCTAAGTCTAGGCGGCACTCTTTGGACAGAGACACGTGATGGTGCAGTTTCGACACTGAGGAAGACAAGCGGATCAGGTATGAAACAAAGGCTCTCCCGGGGGGGGGATCACCCGGCATGCGTAATTCAGATGTCCAAGGAGGGACAGTAACTCTCTTTTAGTACATTTCTTTTTGTTTAAGAAAGTTTCGATCACTGTAGAAATGCGAAGTACCTTGTCTTGGGGTAAGTGGGCCGACATTGTAGTAGAATCTAGAATGATTCCTAGGGGCGGCAGGTGTTGGCTTGTTAGCCACCATCGTGGCTGCACCTATAGTGCTAGGCATTGAAATAACAGCTGGGGTGGTAGGGGTGGCACGGGTGGCAGGGTTGGTGTTTAAGTTTGCATCCCGCAGACTGCACCGTAAAGCGTTGAAACACGACGAGATCAGGGTTCTAGCCGAAGCAAAGCTGAACACGGTAAGTTAGCGTATTTCCATGGCACTCACTGACAGTAAGATCTCAGAGGAGGATTTTCGTTCAATCCTCTCTGAACTCGACAAGTACCGTAAGATGAAACAAGAAATCCGGTCCAAGTCTCGTAAGTCTGCTATCAGCGAAGACGAGAAAAAAAAGTACATAGAACAGGGTTTACGGAAAGCCCAGCAAGCCGAGATCATAGGCGATTACCATTAAACTGTTTCATTGAGGTCAACGCGACATAGTGTCAAGTGCTAGTTCGCGGTCATAGTGACACTATTGTGTCACGTGGGGTCGGGAAGTTAACTGGGGGTTCAAAAGTAGTATATACAATGGCGGCGAGATCTAAGGGCCTGACAAAAGCTTTATTTGTGAAATAAAGCTTTACAGAGGCTTTTGTTGGACTTGATCTCGGACTGTCATTATATCTACTACTTGGCTTGTAAAGCTGTTTCTTTTGAGGAGGTTAGCAAGCTTCCAGTTTGTTATTACTTCAAGGATGGTGTTCTGATGAGGAAATATAGGTCTATGGATATTCCCACGGAGGATGAATGGAACCTATCATCAAATTGTGGAACCAAAATATTTCGACAACATGTACTTTCATTGGCTCATGGAAGTCCCATGGCAGAGTCATCTTCCCAGATAGCATTCAGGCGTTATCCAACGTTGGCAATGTTGGCAAAACCATTGCCAACGTTGGGAATAACGTCTGAATGCTATCTGGGTTGGTGTAAACAAAACTTGTGACAAAACTTTGCCACATTTCTTTTGGCCCAGTTTGAGACAAGATGTGGCTGAATTTTGTAAAACCTGTCATGCATGCCAAATTTTTGGAAAACAAATCAGAAAATTCCTGCCACTCCTTTAAAACCTATACCGGCTTTTGAGGAACCTTTTCGTAGAGTTATTATTGATTGTGTTGGTCCACTACCTAAGACTAAATCTGGTAATCAGTATCTTCTCACTATCATGTGTGCTTCTACCAGATTTCCTGAAGCAATTCCACTTCGTAGGATTGTTGCTCCTGTGATTGTCATGGCTTTGATCAAGTTTTTCACCTTAGTTGGTTTGCCAGATGTTGTTCAGTCTG